TTTAATATGAAACTTCTTGTTGTTACTTATTTATCACCCTTTTTATAATTTGATCAATACTTAGACTCTATTTCTAAATATTTTGCCACACATTTCATTCATTTGCTTCTCATATTTCTTTCTACTTCTTCCTCTTTTAAAAAGAATAACATTCTTTTAAAAAACCTTTTTCTCCTCTAGGGTTTTTATGGAAGGTTTCTTAATTCTTTCACCTCTGAGTACTTCCTTTCTATCTTCTCCTTTTTCTACATGGGTTTTCTTCATGATTTCACCTTTGTCTGACCTTCTCCTCTTCATGCTTTGCTCTCTTTGGTTCTATTCTTCTCCCCCTGCCTTTCTTCTCCTCTTTCTTCCTCTTATTTTTCTTTGTACCCATCATTATACAGAAGAACTATGTTGGACAGAGAATTGTACTCTGAGCTATTGCTAATGATAAAGACAACAGAAATTACATTAAGAAGGAGTTTGTGAAATTCTAGTTGAATGAATTTTTTTTTTTAAAAAACTCAAGGATAAATGGAACACAAAGCTGACTTGACCATCACAATAGATTCTTTTGTGGTGAGGGAGACAGGGTGCAGAATGGCAGGATTGAACCTAGGGGTGCTTAACCACTAAGCCACATCCCCAGGCCTTTTTAATATTTTATTTAGAGACAGAGTCTCTCTGGGTTGCTGAAGCTGACTTTGAACTTGTGATCTTCCACCCCAACCTTCCTAAATTGCTAGGATTATAGGCATGCGTCACCACGCCTGGCTAGATTCTTAATTTGTTTCTCAATTCCAGATATTTTAGAAGTTTTTTGAAGATTAAACTTTATAGAGAGGCAAAGAACATGGGGTACACTAATCAGGTGTAAATTACCACTCTTCACTCGCCTGCTATTTGTGCTTGCATATAACAGTGTTCCTATCTCTAGATTGTCAGTAATAATAGGAATTATAAGGTCAAGCTTAGTATGAAATAAATTGTTATATGTCAGACTCTTCAAAAAGAGCTTGGCACATGTAAGGTATATTTTCTACAATAATCTTCTGTAGTGAAACCTTTATTAATTTTTTATTTATTTATTTATTTTGTAGAATTAAGTCCAAAGTTCTTATTCTTGCCCTTGATATATAACTATAATGTCTCTGTTTTTTAGCTCCATTTTTCTAGGTATGTTCTATATTCATGGAAGACTTTTGTTTCTTGGGCTAGGAGAGACTTGATATTCTAAGAACTACAGCCACAGCAGATCATGTACATGTAAAGGTGCCATGTGCTCTTTCTACTCCAAGTACTTGATGTGTTTTCATTCAGTATGAGTCATCCTACCCTTTTCTATCTATTGAAATCAATTTATTTCTTTTTAAAAATAATTTCCTCAGTAACATTTTACACTAAATGGATAATTTTTAATGATCCTAATAGTTTTCATCTTGGTGTTAATAATTATGCACATTCTTGACTTTTACTGCCTGTTCCTTTATCACTAGATTGTCTTATTAGCTATGAGAGTCACTTTTAATTCTTTAACCAAAATATAGTGATTATCTGTGTCTCCAATAATTGTCCCTAATATTCTTTTTATTAGGGGAATAAACATCTACCTCCTTTGTTTGTTCATGATTATTTGTGCATTTGTGCCTTTGCATATAATATTTACTAGAGATTCTTTTTCATACAATTGATTTCCTTATTTCTGTTTATTTTTGCCATTTGAACCTTTGAGGAATAGCAAATGAGTAACATATTTGTTTTCTAATGTTCTCTGTCCTAGACCTGGTGAAATTTACTAAATAATTTGGATAAATTAATTTACCAACTACATGTGATCTAACACATCCCGATGAAATGATTCATGGAATAGTACAAAGTTTCAGTTAAAAAGCCTTTGTGAAGGGCTGAGGTTGTAGCTCAGTGGGTAGAGTGCTTGCCTTGCACTTGTGAAACACTGGGTTTGATCCTCAGTACCAGATAAAGACAAAATAAAGATATTATGTCCATCCAGAACTAAAAAAATTTTTTTAAAAAGTCTGTGGAAAATAGCTGTTTAGGTGAAAAAGTAGTATTTGAGATATTCGTAAAAGAATATCTGCAGCTCTGGAGGAACTTAATGTTTTTTCTTCCTATGAATTTTGAAAATACATCCTATTACTATGATCTCTTTGGGAGTAGGACTGCATTTGCACCTCTTTTTTGTAGCTTTGGCATGGTAATGACTTTATATATATTAATCCCTCCACATCTACAGGTTCTACAACCATGGATCCATATTTTTGAATGAAAAATGTTCAGAAAAAATTTTGTCTGTACTTAATATGTAAACTTTCTTTTCCTTGTCATTATTCCCTAAACAATGCAACAATGATTTAGATAACACTTACATTGTATTGGGCATTATAAGTAATCTAGAGATGATTTAAAGTATGTGGGAGGATAGGTGCAGGTTTTATACAAATTCTATGTTGTTATATATAGAAAACTTGAGTGTGGATTTTGGTATTTGTGGGAGGTTTTGGAACCAATTCTTCATGAATACTGACGGACAAATGTATGCATATGTATATATAATTTATATAAAGATACTTATATAAATATATATGTATTTGCATATATATTTACTTGATTATGACTAAAAGCCTTTCTGTTCCATATCAAAAGAAAAGTAATTTAACAGCTTTATAATTTTTGGACACATACTTTGTGTGTTATAGGATAACCTGATGGGATGAAGTTGCCAATAATAGTGCTGTCATTCTACAGAGGAGTAAAGAAGAGACCAATATACACATGATCTAATGCATAAATCAAGTTATGTTTGAAAGTTTTTACATGGCAGTGAGATTAAAAGAGAAATGAAATGAATCTGCATTCCTATATTTTTGCTTAACAGTGAAAGAGGGTGATCACAGATTATCAATATTCATTTTTCGGGATCTGTAAAGACAAAACATAAAAACATAAGCCACAATTAAAAATACAGAAGCTCTTCCCTGTCCAATTGCTTTAAAATAGCCAAATTCTGGATAGGACATTTGAAACTGATCACTGGAGTTAAGTGGATGTACATTTGAAAACTGTTCTCTTTCATGTATGACTTTGTAATTTTTAGAAAGTCACATAAATTCTCATAGCCTGTTTCCTCATCTTTAAAATCAAGTCAATGACATCTGCTTCACAGGACTAGTATGCATATTAAATTAGATTCAGTACAAGAAGTATTTAATGCAAGAAGAATATCTTAAATATTGTTAGTGTTCAACAATTGGCATATATCATCATAGTTTTTATGTTATATAGTAGAGATAATTCTTCATATTCATTGTTAATTCATATTTATAATTAAGAGACCCTATATTCAGAAACAGGAGTGATTATGGTATTGTTCTATTTCTTCATTTTCTTTCTGATGGGTTATGTGACATCATGATGTGGGTTTTTGAATCAATGTTTATAGTAAGAGAACTCTTAAAGGTTGTGATTTTGCTTATCATTCTATTCTAAAGAATAACTGTAATATTTTCTAAAATTTTTCCTTTTCTTGAGGCCTTATTAGACTTGATAGTTGCTTATGAAAAATGCACACTTTGTGGAATGTAATAAACTTTGAGTCAAAAACTAGTTTGCTAAGGCTCTAATCAAAAGCAAGCCTTTTAGGAAAATAAAACATACTTTTGTACTGGTAACAGGTCAAAACACATACACACTTGATGAACCTTTGACTGTCTCTCTTTTTGTAGGAATTGGCCAGTCCTAGATTTGTAGATATGACCTAATATTCAGAGAGGCCAACTTTAATCTAGCTTCTAATCCACCTGGAAGATTTATCAACTATTCGTTTTTCCTTCTCTTTGTGTCCAACTGTCCCCTACCCCAAACCCTAGTTATTTAAAAACATCTCAAACTTTCTCATGTAGTTAGAAAATATTTTGAAAAAAATATTTTTTACCTTGGTAAGCTTTTGTCTTCTTGAGATTTGGTATATTTGTGATCTCAGACAGTTGTAGAATTTACTATTGCTTTTGTGGCAGATTGTCAGGAGTAGTATCAGCAGCAGCAGCAGGGGTAGTGTCATCCACAGCAGCCGGAGTAGTGTCAGCAGCAGCAACTGGTGTAGTGTCAGGTATAGCTGCAGTGGTAGCAGCTGCAGCTGCAGAAGTGGCTAGTGGAGTTGTGTTTATATCTTCAGGAGCTGCTGTAGTTGGGAATGGTGGGTGGTGTGGGGGACGGGGATGGTGAGGGCCATTTGGGCGTGGAGGGCGGTGGGGTCTATGGAAACCAAAAAGATCAAAGGGATGAAGGGGAATTCCAGGAATTAGAAAACCTGGTCTAAATTTTGGTGATGCTTCGTGGTTTTGTTGAAGGAATACATGTCTTTGATTCCCAGGACTTCTTTGTATAAGTGGTTTAAAATTCTCCTCAGAACTGGAATGGAACTTCAGAGAGAGAATACAAAAATATTATTTTTATACAAGTAGAATGCATAAACTGAAATTAGACTTTAAATGTGCACATTTAAATCATTTAAATTTATGTGATTATTCTAACTTTATTCCATAAGTAATTAGATAATGTGCCCATCTTATACAGGTTTTCAGTTATGATCTTTGGTGAAATATACAGGAGGTAGACTATATTTCTGTTTTTCTCAAAGTCTAGTAGTATTATTAAAGCTTTTCCCAAAATGTGTTCCATAATAAATGCTCTGATGAAAAGATTTTGGTGATCAAGTAACTCTGGATAGATTTTGAGTAAAGTAAAACACAATTTTTTACAGCAGGACCTAATTACTGGTGTAATATGTCAATAAGTATTTAGCATATCCAAGGAACATGCACTATTTCCCAAATTTACTTCACCATGGAAATTTCACATGTGAAATTTACTGTATCAATTTCATGGACACTTTTTGATTTTTCAGTCATACAGACTTTTAACATGATATTGCCTTCGATTTTAAATTAGGCCCTGACCTCTCATTCTTATCTTCTCAGGCAGAGGCTAATCCTTGGGATTCTAAATATGACACTCCACTTCTTCACAAAATGGTAATTCTTGTTTGCTTTTGTGTCACAGAACTCCCTGATGCCAGATCTTTCAGATTGGCCTTGGGGTATTGGAGGAAGAAACTTCTAATCCTCAGATCTGGTATTCTCATGACTTTAGGCACTAATCAGTGTTGTGTCTATCTACTGAATAGAAGAGCTCATACTTTGGTAAATCATTTAGTTTATAAACTTTGACTCTCTGGCTTTCCTTAACATGTTTTTTTAAGTTGGGAATAATAGAATATATTTATTCCTTTTGACTCTCTGAAATGACTGGCTTTTAATTGTAATTGAAAACATGAAAAGTAAACTAGAAATACAATAAAACTTACTTTGTGTTTCTTTTGCTTAAAGGCATCAGCAGACTAAAATGAGATGGGGAACACAAATATAAAATTAGATTCAGAGCATGTATGGTATTTTGAGAAGTATACTCATTGTAAATTATTTATGAGGATGCAATGTAGTTAGGCTAGGATGAGTAGAACAGAATACAAATTAAAAATTTCATCATCATATATGGGGAAACTTTCAAGAGTTTAAAGAGTAGATAGCCATGAAATAAGGAGATCTATTTTTTCTGGAGCTCTTTAAAAAAAAAAGTTCCTCCTTCTACATTCACATGGGTGTGTTAGCAACTGGTCTCAAGTTTCTCAGTAGCTAAATTTGGCTTCTTTTTCTTGTCACTCTGGTGCCAAATGTGGAAACCATCAAGGAATTAACATCTTTATGGACTTGGTGTAAGGAAAAGCCAGATTATCTTTTATGGAAGAGGAAAATGGCTGGTCTAGAGAAGCTCTTAAAATAAGAGTTTTCATAGGATGGTAAATACTCTTTGTTGCATTTTTAGCATTGGGGCAACAAAAGAAGAGGCAATTCCCATAGCTAGTGGTCCTTGTAAGACACTGGTGGCTTGTGAAATTATCCTACATTGTGTTTGCTGCAATAATAAGTCTTAGATCATGTCTCCTTGACCCTTTGCATAATATAACTTAGGAGTAGTCTTAAGTAAACAAATTAAAAATATTATAGAACCAAGTGCATATGCTTGGTTGGAAGTTAATATTGTGTCTATTTTTAAAATGTATTTGATCCATGTGAAAATATTTGTATGATTGCAAATTTATTCCTAGTGTTTCTTACAAATCAATTTTCTACTTTACACATTTTTCTTTTTGGAGAGCTTGCCAAGGACAATTTTATCTAGGAGTACTATTGTAGAAGTTGAACCTGAGTGTCCTATTTAAAAATCACTTAGGACATTACAGTGTGTAAATACTTACACTTGTTTTGGATTCCAGAGACAACTAATACATGAGAATAAAAGGAGCATATTAATTATGTTCCAAGGCCAACAGAAGATCGTTGAGAAAGTTAAATTAAGATTTTAGAATAAAATAAAAAAAGCATTTGTGTAATATAAAGCTGCATTGGCATAAAACAATGAGCTAAATATATATTTTATGATTAAAAACTGAATACAAAATACATATATGTAGCGTGTTTTATATTTACCGAGAAGGAAGCAGTTAAGGTAAAGATGAGAGCAAAAAATATGAAAGTCTTCATCTCGTCTTAGGGTCCTCTAGAAACAAGCAGCAAGAGACGCTTCATGGTGATGAGCCAATAAAAGAAAATAAAGTTTTAACCAAAATTATGGTGTTTGTGCCTACTATAGCATATCTGTGACAAATCAATATCAAATTAAAAAAATACCAAGAGTCCAACATATTTAAGTAAACTTTAAGAATAGTAAATCCCAAAATGATACATAAAGTGAAAAAAAGATGTGGATGGAAGTCAGTTCTTTTTGCATTGTTAAAATCACATCTTAACTAACCACTTGAGCTATTTTTCAATTAACAAAGGTTACTTAAGAAGACAAACCCAAAATATAATTCAGAATGTGGTAAAGCTGATATCCTGTACACACGGTTTCTATTAGTTGTTTTAAAACCATGTGATGATATGCAAAAGAAGGATGAAAATATTCATAACTTTAACTTAAAAATCTCAGTCTTAGAATTTTTACTTGATAAATTAGCTAACAAATAAAAGCCAATAATGTTCATTCTAGTGTTACTTGGCATTAGAAAAATACAAAAAACTACGAATCACATAGACTTTGTAGAAATTTAAAAAATGCTTACTGTATACCGTATTAAACAGTGAAATGTTTAAATACTGTATTGTATTTAAACTATCCAGATATATTAAATGAAATGTAATAAAAATAAAAATGGGTGTGGTACATTGTATAATTTATGTATGGATTTTCTATTGTAAATAATTCTATGGTGTTTTATTGATTTTATAATTTAAACACATAAAGGAAGCCAAAAATATTTCATTAACATGATCTTCTGCCCTGGAAGAAGATACATACATAAAATACAGAAAACTTTAACTGTTAATTTTTACTTTAAAATATACATAGTTAGAAATATTAAACTTAATATTAAAATATTAATTTTATCATCAGGATATTTTATTATCTACAAATAAGTCTTAAAAATTTATTGTTCTTGCTAGTTCTTTTATTTCCTTTTGTTATGATCATTATTGCAAGATTCTCTGATCAAAATGCAAAATCCCCACAACTCTCCAGTTGTAGTTATTTGAAGACTATCATAAAAATATACTTTCTACATAATTTTGCAATCGCGTGATACTTCAGTAATGAATCATTTGTTTTGCTAGCATTCATTCAACTATTTCTTTTCCCAAAGAAGAAAAATGGTTAAAAGAATTTCTAATCATAAGGAAAACATTAAAAGCATGATCTAAACAACATAATTGGTGAAGAATTACTAACAATGGCTTTATTCCATAGGGCACCCCTTTGTGACTCTAAGGAAAAACCACTTGACCAATAGTCTCAAAGGTGAGTTGCAATTGTTGAATCCTGGTCATTTAACCTAACCTATCAGAGGCCTATTTTTGTAATTTTTAAAAATAAAGTTATTAGTTTATTTAATAAAGTGGACAATTTTAAATTTCAGCCAAATTAATAAATACAATTCTGTCATAGAAAATAGTCATAATCTCAAGCAAGATATGAGACATATTTTAGTATTTTTTTCCCTTTTCTTGGTAATAAAAAGGTAATGGGATGGAAACAATCTACTAATTAAAAAAAAAAAAAGAAGTCCCAGTGATTTCCTGTATAATTTAGTGGAAACTGATTTTTCTGCCACTTAGAACATTTTCATTTTTATAGGTATAAAGCTAAAAAATGTATTTATATCTTGTACAGATTGTTTTAATATCTTGTCCAGAGGACAAGCTATTTTATTATCATTATAATTATTAAAATTTTTACTAAAATTCCTGTATTTTTCTCTGTATGGTATTTCCTTTCAAATGCATTGATTATTAGGACTCTAATAGTCAACAGAAAGCAAAATTTGAGATTTTAAAATACTTCAACTGATTAGAAACTAGCTATAATCAAAGTCTAAAGAAAATTATCTTTTAAACCTACAAAAGTTTAAAAAGATACCATAACAAGGGAACTACTTTCTCCTTGTCTAACGGTGTCAACCTTACCTCAGTTTCTGGAGTCTGGAGGCTGAGAGAGAGTGAGTGCAGGCTCTGGCCTTATAAAGGATTCCCCCCTCCCCTTTATTCTTTCTATTTTGCTAAGCAAAATATTATTATTATTATTTTAGCATTTGCTTTGGGCTAATCCAAACTATTTCCGGAAACAAGAGGTATAATCTTCCAAAGTTGACATTTGTCCTTTTCATTTTTCTCAGCGACATCATGGCTAATTATATGTGCTTCAGAAAGAATACAGCTTTATAATTTTTTTTTTAGCATTTAGATGTGATCTTTGAGTCAATTTCTTTTCTTCATTTGAGAAATTTTCCTAAGATTTTATTGCAAAATAGTAATTATTGCAACTTAATTACAAATCCTAAGTCTAATGAATATTTCATAATGAACTTGCCAGTTACAATATAATACTTTGTTATTATATGCTAATGTGAACTCTGAAGTGGTAGAAAATATTTGACCATAGTAGTTTCTTTTGTTTTCATCTTTAGCTTTTTAAGGTGTAATACTTTATTTCTGAAAGTTAATTTTAATGATTATAAAATTAGCTCAACTTAAACATCTAGCATTTCCAGGGCATTGTATCCTTTTTGTTTTTTGACATAAAAATGAGAAAACGTTGATTAAAGAATCATTTTGATACCCCTTACCATAGACTTTTACCCCTAGATTCCTAATAATTTCTTATTACAGAAGATTTTTGCATCATATGCTTGTAAGAATTGTGCCAATTATTGAACAATACAAAATGTGAGTATTGTAGTAGTCTGACATTTGCTTCAATGTCAGTGAGTTGACGTTCCATCAAAATGTCATTCATCACCAGAAAGATAAGAAAACATCACAAGGAAGACCTACCGGTGGATAATCAGATTTGCAATGCTCTTCTTTCAAGTTAGCTGTTAACAATGGTATATCCTTTTGGCATTAATTCACACTGTGATGAATTAAAGAACTGAAGAGAACCTCTAGACTTTTGATCCAAAGGTGAATTGGAAGGTAAGAGGCATATGTTTCCTTGGTTGTTGGCTTTTGAATTTATTCATAGCCTTAAAAAATTTTTAGGATGACCACTTAGAATGAGAACAACCTAAAATTAAATCAAGATGTAGATCCAGGTCTATATGATTTTACATAGATAATAATGTATATGTCCAGAAGGTGTTGAGAAAACAAGTGACTTCCTTATAGCTTCAAAATCCAGTATTTGAACACAGATTTTTTTGTCTACACAGCCTTTTCTTTCCCCTACACCAAGGTATTTTTAAGTATATTTAACTTCTTCTTCTTCTTTTTTTTCAGTTGTAGATGGATACAATATCTTTATTTATTTATTTTTATGTGATGCTGAGGATTGAACCTAGGGCCTCACATGTGGTAAGCAAGCACTCTACTACTGAGCTACAACCTCAGCCCTAGATTTCACTTCTGTTGAGATAATTTTTGATTAATTATTATAGTGAATGAGCTGTACAAAAGAGTCTCTTTATTAGGAGTTTTTGTGTTTCTGTCATCTGGTAAGATGAATTAATTTCAGTGAGATTAGTTCAAGAACATTAGCCACTAGTTATGTGAAAAATTTAAATTTCTATGGTATGTGGTTAATTTTAGGTCAAGTTAGCTAGGTTACAGTGCCCCAATGTTTGGTCAAACAATGGTGTGTCACTAGTGTAAGTGTTACTGTAGGTGTTCCATTTTGTTTTTTCTATAGATGTGATTAACATTCACAATCAGTTGACTTTAAGTAGGTTGCCCTTCATAACATGGGTGTGGACCTCATCTAATTTGTTGAAGGCCTTAGGGCAAAGACTAAAGTTTCTTGGGAAAGAAGGAATTGTCTCTTAAGATTGCACTGCTGTCTGCTCCTGGCCTGCTGGCCTGCTCTGGGGGTTTCATATTGTACATCAACTCTTACCTGAGTTTCCAGGCTGAATTTCTTTTCTCTCTAGGTATCCCATTTGGTTCTGTTTCTCAGGAGAAACCTAGTAGAAACGGTCTGATACAATTTATTCAAATTCATATACAAAATATAATTTTTATTGAAAAGCTTTAAAATTGCTAATAATTTTATATATCTGTTACCATTCTTACTCAGATCCATTGTACCCTAGTCTAACTTCAAAATTATTGAGCACACCAAATATTTTTATGTTTCTGTATCTTTGTTCTTTCACTTCCCTTAGCTTGCAACCAAAGATCCTCTTCTTGCCTTTAAATTCATATTCATCAAATATCCAGTTTATACTATCCATCCTCTGAGAGCAGTTCATAAATGAAAAAAATAACTTCTCATTCACTTGTTTATTTCAACCATTTAATAGATATCTGTTGAGTATTTATGGTGTTCTAAGAACTTAGAATTGATCAGTGAACAAGGAGTTATCATATGGCTCTCATTACTTAAGATACTCTGCTTTATCCTAATTGTTTTATTAATAGTGCCTGTTTTCAGTCTTAAAAGTGTTCGGACTTTAATGATAAATTATGTGATCATTCTGATTAACAAGCTTACAGTCTAACAGGGAAGATAAGCATTAAAAATGTGTTGCAGATTGAATAGTGTCCTTTGCCCTCCTCAAATATGCTGCTCCCCTAACCTCTGAAGCCTGACAATGTGACTGTGCATTTAGAAACGAGGTCTTTTCAGATGTAATTGAGTTAAGATGTAGTCATATTGGGTTAGGCTGGGACAAATCCAATAACTGGTTTCTTTATAAATAGAAATTTGGCTACAGAGACACAAAAGAGAACATGGAGTACCAGTAGAGGCAGAGATTGTTGTTCTAACTTTTAAGGCAAGGAGTGCCAAGGATTGCCAGCAATAATTAGAAGCCAGGAATAGTCAAGGAAAGGCTATTCCCTAGAACCTTCAGAGAGATCATAGCCCTGCTAATACCTTGATTTCAGACTTGTAACATCTAGAAATGAGAGAATAAATTCCTGCTGTTTTAAACCGGTTTGCAGTACTTTGTAATGGCAGTCTGAGAAAAGTAACATAACAGGAAATATGGGGGGAAATGGGAAAAAAAAAGGTATGGGGCAAGATTTCATGTAGTATGCCCAACACAGTTGGAGAATGCAGGGCTTTCCTGGGTGGAGGGTTCAGGGAAGATATAACTGAGAAAATGACGCGTGTAAACTCTGAAGTGTGAATTCAGGAACATTTCAGGTTGAGTGCAGTGTATTTGATGATCCCAAGACAAGATACAGCTTGATGCTCTAAGGAAACCAGAAGTTCTATACAGTTTGGATTTTGGAGTGAAAAACAACAGCGACATATCATGAGGTGGCATAAGTAAACAGTCTTTCTATTGAGCAGAACCTGGTAAATATCACAAACGTTTTGGACTTTAAAGTTGGTGGAAAGTCACTGGAGCATTTTGAGCATAGGAATAGAAGTGGTGTGATCATTTTGTATTGTCACTCCTGCTTGATAGAATAAAGAAGTAAATGGATACCTGTGATATTGAGGATGAAGATATGTAAGAGAAAATCTGTATTTATTGGGTATGAGGAATTAGAAAGAGTGAGAGAGGAGTGAAGAGCAAGTCCTCAGTGTTGGCTTGGACATCTCTACTGAGATGGAAAAATTCTAGAAAAGGAGAAAACTGAGGGAAGTGAATGCCAATTTCAGTTTAGAATTCTGTTATGTTTGAGTTGTCTGTGAGAAAGCCAAAATAATACACTAGCAGTAAATGAAAAAAAGAGTATAAACTCAAAATTCAATTGATGAATCCTTTGTTGTTTTTACCCACAAACATACTGGCCCACCTCTTCAGTATTTTTGGTATTCTGACGTTACAAATGTTCATTAATGTATTCTCAAATAGATCTAGTTTAGCTACTTGAACAGGTGCCTAGAAAATTTCCATGGGACAACATTTTTTTTTTTTGTCTCTGGGGGTCTTTTCCTTTGAAACTTATTTTGTTCTTTTTCTTCTCATGATTAGGAATTTCTTGTGATATAGAGGAGAATGTTAAGCCATGGAAAAGCTGGCTATGGGGAAAAGATGAGTGGGATTATGAACAAGGGGTTCCCTGGAGCAGAGGGAAACTTTGATCAGAGATAATATTGTGTCAGAGGGAACTGTGGACAGTATTATCTTGTGACATGGGAGTGTCTTAGCAAATTTAACACAGATGCTCTTCACCTCATGATGGAACTACATCCTGACATACTCACCATAAATTCAAAGACTAAGCAAAAAATAATGCATTTAATACACCTACCCTACCTAGTTGAGCAATACAATGCTCTGTGGAGTATGGATTGCTACCCTTGTGATCACATGGATGTCTGGAACCTGCAGTTCCCTGCCATGGCCTAGCACTGCAATAGTATTACACTTTACATCACTAGATAAGGAAAAGATAAAAGTTCAAAGTACTGTTTCTACTGAATGTATAGTGTTTTTACAGCATTCTAAAGTAAAGAAAAGAAAACAAAACATGATTTGAACCTGTAAGTCAAAGAAGGTCTTCAAAGTATCTTAGATGGCATGACTGAAGAGTATATCTAGTGGGAGACAGTAGGAGTGACTAGAAAAATAGCTCTTAGTAAGTGTTCAGAAATGACTAACAAATGAGACTGCAAGGAATTCTAGAGATAGAGAGCATGATGAAGAAAGATACAGGAACTTGAAATAGCTTGGGCTTCTATTTATTAGGACAGATTGGTTTCAAACAACAGAAAACTCACCCCAAACTTGTTTTGGGAGTAGAAAATGTATTGCCTTAGGTAGATAAGCCAGGAGGTTTAAAACTATGATGTGACTAGACTTCCTATTCTTTATTATTTTAAATTTATATTTCATGATTATGATTTCTTCAGTGTTGGCCTCATTCTTAAGGAAACTGCTTGCTTGGCTGGGTGCAGTAGTGTACTCCTATAATCCCAGTGGCTGGGGAGGCTGAGGCAGCAGAATTGCAAGTTCAAAGCTAGCCTCAACAACTTAGTAAGGCCCCAAGCAACTTAGTGAGACCCTGTCTCAAAATAAAATATAAAAAGCCTCAGCAACTTAGGCCCCAAACAACTTAGTGAGACCCTGTCTCAAAATAAAATATATATAAAAAACCAGGTTGGAGATGTTGCTCTGTGATTAAGTACCCCTGGGTTCAATTCCTAGTACTGCAAAAAAGAAAGAAAACTGCTTGTTTATGGTCCCAGAATGGCTCTAGCAGGACCAGGCAATAAATGTTTTAAGACTGAAGTTACTTAGACTTTCCATCTTGGTACCAAACACCTCTTCATGTTCTCTTTTCTCTGACTTGTTTATGTGCTTATTCTTGAATGACTGGCAGGGCATAGGGCCACAGTGGTAGCTTATTGTTGGAATTGGGAGTGAGGTCTATCTCACTTAAATAACACATGTGCATACTTGTGAAAGGGGTTTTATTACAAACTACATCTCTCGTATAATTTTATAGTGGGTGGGAGTTGGAAGCAAGTCAAAAGCTATAGATGTCAACTTCATCTACTGCTTTAATGTCAATATTGAAGGAAACCACAATTCACAATTATTTACAACCATTTACTGTGTACATGCTAAGTGCTAGATACTTTAGCTCAATGGATATGGGTCTTAGCTCTCAGAGAACTTTCTTTTTTTCTTTTCTTTTTTTCAAAGAGAGAGAGAGATTTTTTAATATTTATTTATTTTTTAGTTTTTGGCAGACATAACATCTTTGTTTGTATGTGGTGCTGAGGATCGAACCCTGGGCCGCATGCATGCCAGGCGAGTGCGCTACCGCTTGAGCCACATCCCCAGCCCAGCCCTCAGAGAACTTTCTACTAGTGCTGCTTATAGAGTGTAGTGAGTAAAGAGAGGACAGAACTACAAGTGGATTATAGGCAGAGGGAAAACATGTAGGTACCTGTGTGCCTAAGGAGATGGATGTTATCATGAAGATGGTGGGGAGTGAGTAAAAGGAATTAAAGGAGAGACCAATGCTGAAGGGCATAAGTAATCTGCGTGGTACAAGACCAAGGTGAGTTGAGCAGCAACAAGACTTGGAGGATTAAACAAGGGTTGGCAGTGGGAATGGAGAAAACCTGGTTGTGATAAGGGATGCAAGGAATCATCATTCCACATTTCACACAAAGCATTGTGACTTTGAATTTGAACTTTGGGGTCAAGCCGATGTGAGGAGCAGAGGTTTGCTGATTGGTAGCTTGTTTATCTTGGGCAAGTGATCTTTTTGTTTCATTTTGGTCATTTGTAAAATATGACTGCTTAAAATGCCCATCCACTATATACGCTGATCTCCTTTCTAGGGTCATCACTGGTCAGAATACTTGAGAATAAAGTTTCTGTTTCATATCTATTATTTAAGTTCATATTTTAGTTGTTTCTCCTGGCTCCCCTATTCCTTGTCAAAAAATGTATAATCAACACCTACCATCTTAATGATATTTAATCAAATTTCAGGGTAAGAAGCCTCTCTACTTTGTAGTTATATCATTTAAAATTGATTATTAGTCACCCCTTTGAAAAAAATATAATGTTCTCTCCTTTCTGTCTTTCTAATTGTTTAACTGTTCATTTAATACTTCAGGACATTATCTGCACCACTCAAAGGGAACTACACCAAGCTATTTTTCTAAACAAAGTTTCTGAAAGGGAATGATTGCAGTTTATGAAACAACAAACCTTTTTAACTTGCCAGCACACTCAGTATTGAGATCCTTTTGAAGATAAAATTATTAAAACCTTTAATAGCTTTCAAATGGATAAGATGCAGGACATTTAACAAGCACCATGTGATTAATCTTTTGCCTACCTTTCCAGCTTCATCTTGATTCATTTTCTAGCTGATGACATAGCTATTCATTTCCTTGAAAAACTCGAGGAATTTCTAGCTTCAGGGATTTGAACATGTTGTTTCTTCAATTATCTACATTTTTCAGTCTTTTCACCTAAATCTTATCTCATTGGCCTTAAATTTGTTTGAGATGTGGAACTATAAATTCTTATTATTTTCCTTTGTAATACTTATCAGAACCTATAGCTCGACATTTCTTCCCATTCGGTTATTTCATTAATATTTGTCTTTTTCAGTAGATTAATTTTCACAAAGACAGGGGCCATGTCATTTGAGATTTTCAAATGCTTAGAAGACAATATGTGTTTTATTAATGAAAAAATGAATAAAATACTTAATGTTTGAAGCATAAAACATTAAAAAAATCGTAGCTAACATTTTTATTAGGTGTAAGAAGTAAGAGAATAAAAGATATGGGCTGGCGTCAGAGTTTTTTGGTTGACAGTATAGACATTTACCCTCCCATCTGTATGTCTTATCTTCTGGATAGAAAATGCATAAAAACACAGAGAATGAAACAAAATCATGTATAGTCTTTCCTTCATAAAACCAAACATTAAGATATATATTTTTATGATACTATTATATATTATCTATAAGATATATAAATAAATATATGTAGATATTATATGTAATCATCCTAGGCAACATTCTCTGTACTACATACATACCATATATGAATTTTGTTGAGTTGTATGAACATTTCCTCCATTTGAATATTCTATTAGAAATAGTTTAAAAGATGCATACTATGGCTTCATGTGGATAGACAAACATGTAATCAATTCCAAGTTACTGGGAGTATAAATTGTTTTCATTATTTTTCCCCATATAAAATCACATTCTTTTTTTTTAATGTTTTTTTAGTTGTCAATAGATGTTTATTTTATTTATTTATATATAGTGCTGAGAATCAAACCCAGGGCCTCACATGTGCTAGGCAAGTGCTCCACCACTGAGCCACAACCCAGCCCTAAAATCTTGATTATGTTTTTGCCAACATCATTGTCTTAAATCTGAAACCCAATATAGTGCTTAAGAGTGCTTGGACTCAGGAGGAAAGCCCTCTGGGTTTGAAGCCTTCTCTGCTACATACTAACTATAACACTTGAGGAATCCCAAATGTTTTTTCTGACTTATAGTTTCTTTTTCATTAATGGATTTAATAATTTCTCTGCTAAAGTAATCATAAAGATCAAGTGTTATTCTAAACATAAATGCAGTGGTGCCTGACCTGTAATAAGAGCTCAATTACTGTTGATTGTTTCACTATCACTGATTTTTAGGAAAATTCTTAAGAAGTAAAATACATAAAATAGCTAAGACAAAAAATTAAATATTTAAAATATTCATTACACATATATTCTAGCCTTATAGAAAGGTTGGAGAAATTTGGAAGAAGGTTGGAAAATCAGTCAATAATGAGTATTTAAAATGATCATTATCAATTGTTGAATGGCTAAAATAGTATACAATATTTTTTGTTTTTTTTTGTTTTTTGTTAGTAACTACCATAATTATTTTAATCTATAATCTACCTAGTGGTTCAAATTACTATTCACTCAGTGTTTTGATCTTGTTTTTATTTTTCTCTCAATACTATAAAATTATGAACCTGTATAAAATAATTCTATTTCTGATGCCTACTGCTAAGATATTTTCTAAATGAACAATATTTCATTTTCCCTATACCTCTAGTAATTTGAGTTCTGTACAAGAATATCAAAAACACTTGGACACAATAAATCAGTTGCTGTCAGAAAGGTTTATTGAAGAAAAATTATCAAAGTAAAAACAGACCCGTTTAGAAAGTCTGTGTTAAAAAACAATGAAGATATATGTCCTTGAATTACTAATCAAGAGCATAAGAAGAGGGTGAAATTCAATGTTTAAGACCTGAAAGAAATTGACAAAAATTCAGGATACACATTTTAACAGGAAGAAAATTAAATTGATTCATATATTAATACACAGTATTTTGGATAAATGAACATATTTGCAAAATATTTTGTTTTAGTTTACATACAATATAAGTCAAGAACCCTATCTTATTTTTTAATCTTACATGTAGGTATTAATCAATTACTGAATAGCATTAATTGTTATATCAGTGAAGGTTGAAAATATATTTTTAATAGAAGAGAATTATTGGTGGGTTACTAATGAAGAAAAATGTTTAGAATATGCACTTCAGAAGATTTTTTAAGAACATTTTTAATACTACAGTAATTTTTGAGTTATTAATTTGATTATCTTCATATTCTAAAATGTAACATCAGGGATTAATTAAAATGGCATGGATCATTAATTTTAGCAGGAAAAGAATTCCTTTCTTGCTTTCTTCATACCTAGAGGGCTACTATAGTACTTTTTTTATTGAGATAAATAACTGTTAGATAACTCAAACTTCAAACTTTGTAATACTAGTTTACTGCCATTTCTTTAAATTTCCATAAATATACTGTGCTATGTGACTCTATTAATAAGCCTTGCATTTTCTAACCCTAATACTTGCCTGAAATGCCCACATTCTTTCATTTAAGATTTTTGCTTGTTGAAAAAACTTCTGAGATGTTAAGACTAGTTGTCTAGATTATTGCACAATTCTATATGGCATCCCTTTTGCTATTTTTAAATCATGAACTCATCTGGATCTTCTTTTAGTAGTTTAAAGACACCTGTTTCATCTGCAGAAGTGTCTTCTTTTTGTTGGTCTGTGGTATCTAGTTCAGGGGTAATTCCAGAAAGGGACTCAGTGACCTTGACAGATTCCACTGTATTATTTTCAGGTGTATCTTCTGTTTTGTTAGTAGCTGGTTCTCCCAAAAAGCTCATAGCAGCTGATGCAGGCACAATGAAGTCATATCTGGATTCAACAGCAGTAAGCAAAACAGAATGGGTCTCTGCTTCATTTGCCATGCCTCTCTCTATCCAAACATTGACTTCATCAGTAGACTCATCAGTTAGATTATCTTCTGGGTTGTCTTTGTCTTTTTCAGCAGAGGCAGTAAGTTCAAACACTGTAATAAAGTTTTCTTCATCAGAGTCAGTGACTTTAGTAATAGAGCTGGGGTCATCCTCTGAAGCAATTAGGTCAATTTCAGTTATGTTCTCTTCTGTAAGGTCAGTTATGTCTGGAATGGTGGTGAAGTGTTTTTCAGTAGATGGAGAGATTTCAGCTTCAGGAATAGAGGAATCAGTAACTGGGACAGCCCCAACAGAAGGAACCTTGGATTTGATTGAGGAATTAGTCTTGCTAACTTTGATTTCAGGGGTATCAGTAACCCTGGCAGTGCTGTCCTGTAGTGTGCCAGAGACTTCGGCAATCATGGAGATATCTTCACCTTCTGCATTAATGGTAGCCAAGACGATATCTTCTTTTGCCTTGCTGGCGGAAAAATCTATTAAAGAGACTGTATCGACTGGGGATGAAACATTTCCAATTTTCACTGGAATGAAGTTTTCAGTAATAGAATCCTTAGCTATGGAGTGTGTAGTGCCAGTCAGAGTAGTAACTTCTTTTTCCAGATGAGTTGTTGACTTAGTCTGGGTCTCAATATCATCTTCTGATATGAATCCTTCCTTAGTAAACATAAGTTTGTTGACTGTAGTTGTTGAAAAATCACTTTCTAGTGTATAGTCATTTACTGAAGTTATGTGGTCTCCTTCTGAAGTAATAGTTGTTTCTGATCTAGGAATAGTGTTGTCAGCCCCAAAGAAAATGGTTGCTTCAGGTGATGTTTTACTGCTTTCTGTTGGAGGATGAGAATAAATTTTAGGCAAACCATCCTCAGCCATGGGGTGAAGTGGCACTGTGCACTCTCACAGGTCTTTCTTCTGGGCTTAGTGGCATCCCTGGCCAGGAGAGTGGTGATTGAAGTGTTGGTCATTATGGTGATTGTTGCATCAACCACAGGGACAATGGCACTGCCTTACCTTGGAGGTGTTTCTTTGCTGTGATTGGACATCCACTTTTAAGAGTATTGATGTTAAATGAAAAGAATGTTGCCTTCTCTGATTAAAAAATCAAAATTTATACCAAATATTTCAATTTCAGGGAACTGAGGATATATCATTCTTTTTATAAGGGATATGGCTTCTGATAGTGTCATTTGAAAAGATGTAGCCAAGTGCTTTGTGGGTTTAGAGTCACTAGGGGAAACTCTCAAAATCATAAATTATCAGCATCAGCTTAAAGTCACCTCTCTTTCAAGTAAGTAGGAGTGTCTTTCTGAGGTAAAGTCATCTTCCCGTGAGATTCTTGGTATTTAAGTGCAAAATAAAATAAAATAAATGGCAGTTTTGACAGTGTAGCTGCAGAAGGTAATTAGTTAGCAGAGATTTCAATACCTATTTCAGTAGGAATAATGAAAAATAAGGTATGGGCCCATTTGGATCTTTTCTGTCTTCTTGACTTAATGTAATGATGAAAGTGTCAAGTTTTGTAGGTTTAATTTTCCTGGAGGGAGTATTATTTCAACCTCATTTTTGATAGGGTTGGTATTATGTCTCAAAATTTACTCAGCATCAAGAATTAGGGTTTGAAATAACTATTTGATTTAAGACGTATATTCTCAGATTTCATAGGGAGTGTTTTTTATAATGATGTTAATCATGTCAGACATCATCATTTATTATCAACCTTAAAATTTAGCTACTTAGATGAAAGGAGAGTGAAATCTAATGTCAACACTTTAAAATGAGACTTTTCCCAGTTCTGTTAGAAGAAATGGAATTTTCAGACACATAACTAAATACAAGAAAGTCAGTAGCATCAGCCAGGGTAGTAGTTTCTGTCTCAAGGTCAAATGCATGTTTTTATTACATATGGACTCATTCTTAAAACTTACATCTTCATCTCTGGCTGGATAGCCTGACCTAGATATATTCTCATTCTAAAAATGTCAGAATAGGTTTTAAGATGGACATTTGTCATTTTAAAGACAATGCGTAGCTTCTTGGGAAATGTTTTTGCTTCAAGGGATATCACTGTTAAGGTTTCCAATATCTTTATTGATATAGAAAATGCTGTCAGCATCAGGGACAAGGAAGGAAGTCTCAAGTTAGTAATCAGCACAGGTTCTTTGTTTTTAAATTGAAATACTGTCAGTTCCAGGGGCAGTAGAGGAAGTTCCAAGGTTAAATCATTCTCTGAACTGGATAATTTAGTCGGGGGATTTTTTAACTTCTGTTTTAAAATTTTTTCCCGCCATCTAATATTTGTGAATCTTAATTCAGGATTAAAACATGCTGTACACAGCTCTGATGGCCCCCCTTTTGGAAACATTTCTTTGTGCACAGAAAGGAAAAAAAGATGAAAATATAAGCTGCCTAACTACTGCAAGTTACGTTTTTAGGACTCCATATTTGTTATACTGAATAGACTTGGAATCCTGAACAAAATATTCGCTTTTATGAGGCTTTAGGTTCTAGTTAGCTATTCCAGATAAAATGATTATATATTATCTTTATTGGTACTAATTTGTCAAATAGTCTTTCGTTTCAGGGATTAATTTTGTAGTCATGCTAACTCTGCTATTACTAGTATCACTATGAGTTGAAATCACATTGATTGCAGCACATTATTTCTCTTCTAGGGGAATGTTTTTATCATTATCTGTGTTTTCTAAACCATTGACCTTAAAAAGGACATTTCAGATTGAATATATGTCATCCAAGTATAAGAAATATATATGATATGAACACATACCAGTGTAACTCCACATCATGCACAACTATAAGAATGGGAAGTTATACTCCATGTATCTATGATATGTCAAAAATACATTCTACTGTCATGTATAACTAAAAAGAACAACAAAATCAAAAGAAGTATATATGAAAATACTGGTTGGTCTCCAGGAATTTAGCAGTCACTCTTAGGTTGAAACTGGAATCATCAGCTTCAGGGAATATAGTACACTCTTTTTTTGACCAATAGATCATTGCCCTCAAAGGTATTATCTGAATGAAGGACAGGGAATAAGATTACACAGGTGAGTTTTATTTTGTTGGAGGATAGGCTTAGTCGGTTTTTGGAGTATCTATCACAATAATTGGCATATTTTGTCCTTTCTCTGGCAAGTATTAAAATAGTATCTATTGACATATCTTTTTAGTGTATATTTCTTTCTTATTTTGGCTGCTGTAGCAAAAGCTTGCTTGGTCATCAGCTACCTTACTTGCTCTATATTTTGAGGTGTTTGGCTATGTGGTTATGTCTTCATTTAAGTACTAACTTTTTTAGGTTCATGGTAAAAACTTTTTTTTCTCTCTCTTATGTGAAAAAGTGGAATCCATTAGCAAAAATGGACAATTTCTCAATAACTATTGAAAATCATTTTTTAATATATTTACACATAAAGGCACATTTTGTTTTTCAGGGATACTTGACTAGGAAAAGCATCTTTAGAAATAGACTTTGAAAATGCCAAAGGCAGAGTGATGCCCACCATTGAGTCTTTCTCTGCAAATATCTTGAGATTCATCAGAAGAAAGATCACGTGTAATTTTTAAAAGAATCAACTGTTAGACAAGAGGTAATACCTATGGACTAGAATTCCTGTTTTAGAAAGAACTTATATATCTTCAAATTTTGTAAATTGATTGGAGAAATAGAGTATTAACTTTAATTGAGGAGGTTAGTCATGTAGAGTCACTGAGGAAGTTTCTTGTTCAATATCTTCAACCATGAAATAATTCTCATCTTCAGAAACAGTGAAGACAGTGAAAGGAGCAATCACATTTTGAGAATTGCTCATGTCAACATTCATATTTTTGACTTCTTTCCCTCCAGTGATTTGAATGTTGGGTGTATGACTAAGGAAATTATAATCAAAGGATGTGCTGTCCAGTGGGGTCACTATTTCTTTGTTTCCAAGGAAGATGGTATTTACAGCAGGGTTAGTAATGACCCTCATATCTGCTTTGTCATTTGTAGATTCCTTGGAAATATCCTTTGGCTTTATTTTGTTTGCCTGTAACTGAGGAATATGAGCACTAAAAAAAGTGTTTTCTTCAACCTTCTTGTTTGTTTGTTGTACAGTAGAAATTTCTTGAAACCTAGGTAATATTTTTTTCTATCACAATAGGTTCATGAATAATGTTCCTACTTTCCAAAGCTTGAAATTCTGAATTTGGTATTCCGAGATTAGCCATATTAAACTCCAAATGAGAATTTTCTCCCATCAGGGAAATGATCTCTGGATAAGATGAAGACATCTCACTAGCAGGAATAATAATTACTTCTGTGAACAAATTTAAATCCCTAGCCAAAGTGTTGGTTTTGTGAGGAACAGATGTAGCTGGGAGAGAATCCTTAGGTATGGAAAAGCTTGAATACATGGCTTTGGAGACACTGTTATAATCTTTATTGACCAATTTATCATCAGCAATGAGATTTTTACTTACAAGATAAGGATTTAGGTCAGTGTCTTGTAGAGGGTTTGTTTCCATCTTGATAACTTTATCATTTCTTAATATATTTATATCTGTGAGGTGATTTGCTTCAAATTCAGTAGTTGTGTCTTTCATTGTAGAGGCTTTACTTATTTCTTTTGTATAATAGAAATTTGGTTCAATATGTTCATTAGGAAAAAAAGTATGAAACTTTGTAATTGTTTTTTTGAGTTTTGCATTTTGATCATCAGAGGCATCGGCAGAAAAAAATTTATCCCTAATATCAGTAGTAATAGATGTGTTTGGTTCAATATCTCTGATGTTGTCTGAAGAGCCAGTGAAATCATCTTGAGAAGGAGTATAGATCAAGTAGAGAGCCTTTGGGATCATTTGACTTTTAGTATTTTGCCTTGTGGAGACCACACCATCATTGAAGTAAACTGAATCTGAAAACACAGATTCTGGTGCTGCCGTTATTAACGTTGTAGAGTAATATGGGTTTCCACTTCTTTCCAGTCTAAGGGCTATGCTTTCTTTAGAAGAAGCATTATCAGTTAGAATGGGAGTTTCAGGTAGTCCCAAAGGTATAAATCTTAGAGACCTGGCACCCTTTGATGATGGAAAACTTGAATGGCCAACGTTAATTTCGTTCTTAATGGAGCTAGCAGGAACACCTGGCATAATAGCAGACACCTTTCTCAAATGAGAAAAAGAGGTGAGAGCTGTGTTGATTGCATCTTCTGTATTTTCCTCTATGTTGAAAATGTCATCGCTGGAAAGCTGAGCTAAAGGAAAATTACTAAATCTTGAATCAGATGCTATAACTAAACTTGTTTCATCTTTGGCCAGATCAGATATACTGGAGGTGGTAGTGTCTATTTCTCTGGGTGTAAATATCTCATAAATGGTAGGCAACATGTCTTTCTTGAGCAAATTATAACTATTTTTGATAGTATGATTAGGAGTATCAGTTGTGAATGTCCTCTTTTTAACCGTGGGTGTTAGGCCTTGAAAAATGGAATTCTTGGTTATTCTTCTGTTTCCTAAGTCAGAGCTTTCAGAGAGAATAATGGTGTCGTCATCACTATTTGTTGTGCCTTTCCCCACAGATGTTTTATCAGAAAATATAGAAAGAAAATTTTTACTTGCATCAGTTTGGGAGTGCTTTGTGGATCTATGAACTTTGTTATTGACTTTGGCATTGGACTTTGCAAAAGTAATGCCAACCTTTTTGTTTTCTTTCATGGGAATTATAGCTTGGGAATTTCTTTTGGCTTTGAACTCTGAGGGTGTTGTTTTAGATAGACTGTCTGAAACAGCAATTGTGGTATATAGTGTATGAGACCTTCTTGAATTGGGGGCATAGCTGGGTGTACTCATTTTTACAAAGAAATTCTTCA